GCTTTGGCGAGGCCCGTCCTATATTGAAGAAATAACTTTAAAATATTTCAATCAAATGCATAAGCAGATGAATATGTCTGAACGCCATCCAGTAATTTCAATATATTAGTAAGCTTTGAAGGTTCCTTAAAGAGTTAGGCGGGCATTTTAATAGATTTTACTTCGTCTATTTCTTCGTAATTTTTGAAGGTACGGTTTGATATCAAGTGATATGTAAATGCACTTATAGATTTTTATGTTTTATGTCTATAACCATGTGAAAAATTAGCACAGTGATACGTTACCTGAGTTTTTGTTCATTGCCAAATGGTTGCAATTCGCATACATATTGTAAATGAATTTGTTATTTTTCATCAGGGAGCATTTGACGTACTGATTTATGTTTCACTAGTCAAATGGCTTAAATGTCATTCATATCAACGGGTGCCTCGTAATGTAAAGTTTATGAATACACATATACGAATAAGGTATAACCAGAAGGCTAATGATAATGCTGTAATGTAAACTTGATTTCACGTAATAATTTTCATGTGTTTCCGTATATGGTTCATCTTCAGAAATGATTATGTGTGTTAGCATTATTTCTGCATATTTTGAGTTGCCGTTAAATGAAATAGATGGTCATTCTTTTTTTGTATATTTTTTCATTCTGTTTGATAGATATTTAAGTGATTATTAAGGTTTATATTGAACATATAGTAAGAGGTCAAGTTTGATTATTGTTTTGAGTGATATTTTACTTGGAGTATTTTTGGGGAATGGCTGGTTGTTAATTATCACTGGGAGATAGTCTTGTATTGATCCCCCAGCAATCAGCATGTACATCATGTATTAATAACTAGGCTTGTCTATTAAGGAATGTTCTGTCTAATTAGGAAGGACAAATTTGCATGTATCACACTTTAACCAGGTAGGAGGAAGACTCATTAATAGCTACACTTTTGATGATTTAAAAGCCAGGGTTATCAAACTTTACATGCGTTAGTCTCAACTTTATCTAGATTCTTAATTTTGTTCATACCTATACTCATAAATTCCCAGGTAGTGCCTGCAATTTCTGCTGCATTAGATCAATAATTAGACTAACGTAAAAACAATACTGTTATATATACACTTATATACATAATATGATATACATATATTATATATATATGAGCTTGGATCAAGTATTGATAATGATAACATCAGTCCTGAATACATATCTGCAATCCAAAATTAAATCTAAATAGTGCAGCAGCATATACAAAAGTAAACAGTATATTTAAGACTTTAGGAGAGAAAAAAGATCAAATTTATTTTCTGAACCCCGTCTTCATGTACATGTACTAGTATGATTCTGCATATACCACAGATTGGTTATCAATATCATAATGTTATTAATATTTAAGTGTCACAGTAAATCATGATCATGCTTTCCCAAGAGGAATATTGATAACTTGAATTACATGTTTTTCCTTATTTCCTGTTCTGTTTATGTGTGTACTGAGATAAGGAACTAATGTATAAATCCAAGATTTAGAAAGTCATCCACTGTTTACTCTTTCAAAAGAAAGCAGTGTCCTAGTAATTGCTAACAAGGTAATTTGTGACAATTTTAGAATTTACCATAGTTTTATTAATAAAATAATAGATTAGTTTATTGATTTTATTACATACATTGTTAGATATTTTTTCTCTCAGCTGTTGTTGTTCAGGTTACTGAAATTGTATTGATTTTTGTCATCAGATTTGTGTTATCACTTTTTCAGTCTTTAAGAATTCTCAGTTTAAAAGAGGAAGAAAATAATTAAGATAGGAGGACTCTTTATTGTCAAAAACACAAACACATGTGATAATCACTCCCAGGAACAAACACACATTGTAAACACATTGCTTCTTACATTTTCATCTTTTCTTCAACTATTGCATAATCAAACTATAATTCTAAAGTATAATTGAACCTTCATCAATTTTTAGCAGATAGTGTACTGAGATACTGTCTTTTGTTAAGATATGTGTGTATGTGTATGCATGTGTTTATATCTAAATAAGTGATGTATGTCTTACGTTTATTTTTCTTCCTTTTGATAACAGTACAAAATCTGAAATTATAAGTCTGAGGTTTTGTATACTTCACTCTGCATTGTATATTTCATTGTTTATTAAGGTGTAAACAGTGAAAACCTATACAATATAAACTTTCTTAAGCAGTTAATTTACAGCATTATAAATATGCATCTTAAGATATGATATGAATGTTTATATGATATGTAGTTTTATGTAGAATATTTTTATCATATATCAGTTTATAATACATTTTATTTATTTATTTATTTACTTACTCATTTGGTGTTTTTTTCATCCTATGTTTTAGATTTACCAACACACCAATTTTGACAGCACAGGAGGAATGTATAGTGAAAACCTTGGTGAACATTTACAAGAAATGACTGACACAAATTTAATTAGCATAGATGTCCAGTATATAGAAACTCAAACAAGAAGAAATAGAGAAACAAAG